ACCCAGCATCTCCATGGCCCCCGGAGCTGCCCTTCCTGGCTGACCGGCTGGCCCAGGAGTGCCCGGGGAAAGGAAGCCGTCACTGTGCCCGCCACCGACCAGGCCCTGTCACCAACGCTATCCTAGCTCAACTTCATGGCCATCCTGCAGAGTCCAGATGGTCACTTTTTCAGAGAAGGAGACAGAAGCTCAGAGAAGGCCGCGGCGTGTCCCAGGTCACACAGCCTTTCCTGGGGCCTATTCCTGGCTGACCGGCTGGCCCAGGAGTGCCCGGGGAAAGGAAGCCGTCACTGTGCCCGCCACCGACCAGGCCCTGTCACCAACGCTATCCTAGCTCAACTTCATGGCCATCCTGCAGAGTCCAGATGGTCACTTTTTCAGAGAAGGAGACAGAAGCTCAGAGAAGGCCGCGGCGTGTCCCAGGTCACACAGCCTTTCCTGGGGCCTAAAACGCCACCACCTGCCCCTTCCTCTGCTGGTGGGATCCTGGCCCAGGCGCCTTGGGGGCTGAAGTCCCAGACCTGCAGGCTGGTGTGAAGACGTCTGAGTGCTGGGAGCAGGGAGGAGTCTCCCTTCCGCGTTGTGATCCCCGGCCGCAGAGCGCTGCATTCCCGAAACCTTGTCCTAACAGGAGGTCCGGAGTCCAAGCCGGGGTGGGGAGACGCCTGGCGGGAGCCCGGAAGGGACTCTTTCTTCCTCCAGCAGGGTTTTCGGTTTCAGAACTGAACCTGTGGGGGGAGGGGGCTGGGGAGAAGCCCGGAGTAGTCCCCCCCGGGGGTTTCTGCAGGTGAGGTGCCTCTCTCCATACCGAGGCCTGGGGAGAGTCTGCAGGGTCAGCTTCCCAGGCTCTTCCCAAATGCGTCCTTGCCTCCCCCCTGCCCCCGAGGCCACGTGGCAGGAGGGGGGAGGGGGTGATGTACTAGAGAGCCCTGCATGTAGTGCACAAAGGGCTGGAGGAAGGAGGGAGGGAAGGGCCGGGTGCAAGGTTATGTTTAAGCAAGCGCTGGACCTGAACCTGGCAGGAGTGAGACCCGTCTCTTCTTCAGCACCACCCCCATCCCTGTGCAGCCCCAGGCCCCTCTGGTCAGTGACCCTCACTGTTCCTTGGTCTGATGGCTCCTGGAAGGACAGGGACTGGGGACCAGGCTGGAGCTCAGCTGCGGTGTCCGCTCCGATTGGGGTTCTCACTCACTCAGACCCAGGACAAGCGCCGTGAGGGGCTTCAGAGGAGAAGGTCCCCCTCTTCGCCCCGATGTTCAGCAGACACTACGCTAGCGAGTGTTACACACACTCCAGGATGCTGAGCCTAAGTCTCCGCACGTTGTTATGGTAAATAAAGTGTTTTCTGATTCCTTTTGCTCTGGCTAATGGTTTAAAGCTCTGCTTGTACTTCCTACTATTGAAAACAAAGGGCCTCTGAAAGAAGAGGGAATTGTCTAGAACAGCAGTTCTCAGCCTGTGGGTCGAGACCCCTTTGGGGGTCGAACGACCCTTTCACAGGGGTCGCCTAAGACCATCGGAAAACACATATATAATTACATGTTTTTTTGTGATTAATCAGTGTTTTAATTATGTTCAATTTGTAACAATGAAATTGGGGGTCACCACAACGTGAGGAACTGTATGAAAGGGTCGTGGCATTAGGAAGGTTGAGAATCACTGGTCTAGAATCTTAGGGGTGGGCACTCCCTCATGGACCTCGTAATCTAACCCCCCTCCCAAATTTCAGATGAAAAAACCGAGGCCCAGAGATAGAATGGACTTGCCCAAGGTCACCCAGCAAGCGTAGGTGCAATGGTCACAGGATTGTGGGTGGCAGCAGAGCTGGGCCGCCAGAGGTTGGGGAGAGCAGACTGGTGGGAGGGAAGCCGAGATGTTAATCAGAGGGACCAGAGTTGATATAACACACATGGACTACGACTTGATAGGGGATGAGGATACCAGGGTCTGACTCGTGTCTCTATACCTAACATTTGTCAGGCACCTGCTTGTCTTACTTGGGTTAATTCAGTGACACCTCTAATGACACTGTTCAGAAGGGGAAACTGAGGCCCAGGAGAGTTAAGTACCAAGTTCAAGGTCACACAGCTAGGAAAGGGCATAGAATTGATGCAACAACAGGACCATAGGGCCACAGGCAATCTTGCCTCCCCATCTTCTCCCTGTAGGCCCTGCATACGGGGCAGCCACAGGCTGATAGACATGACCCTAGACGGTCTAAGCCTTCCTTAAGTTTATAACATGTAAGAGGGGGGTGTGACTAAATTAGCATTGGTACACTCATATGATGATGACTGAAGAGGTCCTAAGAACAAAGGATGCTTTGAAGAATATTTAATGAGATGAGAAAATGCTTTAACATATTAAGCAGAAAAGAAATAGAATGTGCAACTGTTACTATAGCTTGATATTCTGCTTGTTTAAAAAATATAAACTGAACCGAAGAAGTAGGCGGAGCTAGTGTCGCTTTTGGAGGGATATGTGCTAATGTCTGTGAAGCCCCGATGTGTAAACACAGCCATCACCACTGCCGGAGCCTTCCACGTGCTCAGATAGATGGAAAGAGTCTGTATCCGCCTGCATCTATTGCTACATAACAAATTACTCCAAAGCTTATCCTCTCACATTTCTGTGGGGGTAGGAATCTGGGCGTGGCTTCGCCGGGTGCCTCTGGCTCAGGACACAGGCTCCAACCAAAATATGGGCCCGGGCTGCAGCCACTCGAAGGCTCGACTGGGGAATTCAATTCTAAGCTCTCTGTGAGGGCTGCCTGCAGGCCTCAGAAGGTCCACGTCCAAGCTCGCTTACAAGGTTGGTGGCGGGATTCCGCTCCTTGCGGGCCATTGGACCGGGGAGCTCAGGTTCTTGCAGGCTGTCGGCAGGAGAGGTCAGCTCCTTACTGCGTGGGCCTCTCCGCACGGCAGCGCCACATGCAGCTGGCTTCTCTAAGCTGGCGTGAGAGCAAGGAAAGGTGAGCACATGGAAGCCACGGTCTCTCTGTGACCTAATTTCAGAAACGACATCCTGTCACGGTGACTATTCTACCAGTAGAGGCAAGTCACTGGGTCCCGCCCCCACTCGAGGAGAGAGGGCTGCACAAGGACACAAAAACCAGGAGGGGGGTCGGGGCATCCGAGCGGCTGCCCGCCACCCTGGGTGAGAGCCAGCCCTTCCTTGGGTCCTTCTTTTGGATTCAGCACCAATGCTAGCAGCTGGCTTTTTCAGAGGGGGCCATTTTTCAGAAGGGAACAACTTTGTCCCCTCTCCAGCAGTGGCAATGCCCCCAGCAGTGAATAGAGCGGAACTGGTGGGTTTGGGGCTGAGAAATCCGCCCCCCAACTCCTTCCCTAGAGACACACAGCCTCAGATTAGCCTTGCAGCAAGCACAAGGCAGCCACCGCCTCCTCAGAACCACCTTTGAAGTCACGCATGGACAGTCAGGGCTGAAGGCGCCAGTATGCGCAGGCCAGAAAGTCTTCTATGCTTGGAAAGGTGATCGCTCACTGGAGGACTGAAGTTTAAATTCAATTTAAACTCTTTTAGCTGTCTCCCCCCGCCCGTGGGTTGAACGGTGGCTCCCTAGTGATCTGTCCACCCAGAACTGTGACTGTGAGCTTATTTGGAAAACGTGCAAGTTAAGGAACTGAAGCTGAGATCGTCCTGGATTAGCCAGGTGGGCCCTAAAGCCAATGACCATGAAAGCAGGTCACCAATGACAGGACGAGAAGACACAGAGGGAGGCCCTGTGGGGACAGGCGGAGACTGGGGTTGGCCGCCCCACCCCAAGGAGCCACCCGAAGGCCAAGGAGGCTGCTCCCTCGGGCCCTCAGAAGGCATGTGGACGCGGGGAGGGCAGGGAGGAGCCGTTGCAGTCGTTCAGGTGAGCGATGGTGGTGGCTGAGCGATGGTGGTGGCCGCGCCGGGTGGTAAGAGGTCAGATTCAGGGTGTGCTTCCCAGACAGAGCCGATGGGACCTGCTCACGGTTGGATGTGGGGAAAGGGAGGAAGGAAGTATGATGTTGTGGTTTGGGGCCTGAGCACTTGGTGGTTGGTAGCGCCAGGGACCAGGAAAGATTGAGAGAGGAGCTTAGAGTGAGTGTGTGTGTGTGTGTGTGTGTGT